GCTGTTAAGATTGCAGAGGGGTGGAAGGAGATTGGGGTATAAAAGAAGGTAAAGTCTGAAGGGTAAGAAAAAGACAGCAAAGAACCAGACTGTGAGGAAGCAAAACTTAGGCTTTTGCTTAAGTGTTATGGGAAGCCATTGATGGCAGGTGGAGACTAAGAGGACATGAACATTAGTGACATACAATTTATTTTCCCACCACAGAAAAATGTAGTGGTATGTGGTTATGGCAATAACAGTGATTTGGGCAGACAAAATACGGAGTGCACTTGAGCCTCTCCCACTTTCTTTTTACTAATACAGCCAAATCCTGGGGTGAAAGTCAGCCTGGGTAAATGAAGAAAAATTAATTATGAACTATTTCCAAAGGAAATACAGTCATATTACCTTCAACGCATATTATAGGGATAACTAAGCTAACAGGAGTGCCTAGTAGGGGGCCTGCCTTAGTAAAGAGTTATAAATGATTTATAATTATTCCACCGTTTATGGCTTTTTTAAATGCCTCGGAAGATTTTGTTTTACTGAGTCATTGGAATGATCAGTCCTTCAATTTTGTTTTCACTATTAATTTGCTTGGCAGACCCTCTATTCTGTAGATGCTAAAAAGGTTAAGCTTCAATACAGGCCCTGTCCAAATGGTGACAAATTATGAATCGGTAAAAGCCAATGAATGAAAAATTTCTGTGTAGGTCTTTTTAGAGTCACATAGGATCCTACCTACCTGATAACCTAACCAAGCATAGTTCACAAAATGAACACATTCCAGCAAGCTGAACATGCTACACAGAAGTCAATTCCCTCTGGCCAGTGATAAGGCAACTTCAATAGAAGTGAGGCTGAACACTTCAAGCTGCCATTGCAGACCATTTTATCCCTAGACTCTTTGCAGTCTATGTAGTCTAGATTTGGTATAATAATAGCTAATATTTATCAAGTGCTAGCTATGTACTAGACACTGTGCTAAGCCCCTTATGATTATTTTCCTAACTTTATTGAGGAATACATCCTATGTGAAACAGTACACACAATTAATGTATACAATTTGGTGAATTTGGATATATGTGTACACTTGTGTTACAAACACCACATCAAGGTAATAAGCATATCCATCACTTCCAAAAGTTTCCTTGTGTACCTTTGTTTCGGGGGCTTTTGTGTGTGTGTGTGTGGTTAGAACACAACATAAGATCTACCCTCTTAAAAAAATTTTAAGTGCACAGTATTTTATTGTTAACTATAAGTACTACATTGTGCAGGAACTCGCTCATCTTATGTAACTGTAACTTTATACCCATTGGATAACAACTTCCCATATCCCTCTCTCCCCATCCCCTGGTAAACACCATTCTGTTGTCTACTTCTATATGTTTGACTGTTTTAGATGCCTCGTATAAGAGGAATGATGGAGTATTTTTCCTTCTGTGACTGACTTATTTCACACAGCATAATGTCTTCCAGTCTTTGGCCATACCACCCTGAATGCACCCAATTTCACCTTTATCATTAGTATAACATGTGAGCCTTACAACAAGTCTGTAGGGTATGTATGATTGTTATCCATGTCTTAGAGATGAGAAAACTAAGAATCCAAGAGTTGAACTGATTTGTCCAGGATCATATGGATTTTAAGTGGCAAAGTAAAGATTAGAACTAAAGTAGTCTGGTTTTGTGATCTCTATCACTTCATATGCTCTAAAAACCTACAGGCACTTGGAAGTCCTACAGCCTAGGTAAGAACTAGTAATACTCACTGCTTAGAAGATGGTGTTGACTGTGTGATGTGTATTCAGAACACTACATGTTAATGACTCCTAGATTGCTTCCAAATGTGCAAATACATTTAGCTTTCCCCTTCTTTATTTGTAAAATGGGGATGAGAATGTTTACCTAACAGGGCTGTTGCAAGGATTAGTTGAGATAATATATATGGAAGTACCTAGTGCCTGCCAAATATTAACTAATCTATACAAGTTTCCAAATCCTTTTGAATAACCAACCATGAATTAACTGTCCACTTTTATTGAAGTGATAATATGGGTGCTGTCCCCAAAGTATATATATTTGTAAACTCATTTTCAGGATGAGGAAAATATGGGTTTCCCCTATGTCATATTCCCTTGTCCATTCCCTCTTTCGACCAAGGGCATACATCTAGTAGGCAAGAGTTTAATGTAATGACTTGATCACGTAGCAAAGAAACCAGTGTCCTTGATCTTCATCAGCACCGATTGAGCCAACTGACATAGTCCCAAAACTGGTTGGCAAAGCTAGGATTGATGAATGCCATGTTTAGTCCTTCAAGACAATGTAACCTACCTCCCTCTTTTTAGCTACCATTTATTTTTGTTACTTTAAAGGGAACAGGCCCTAAAAGTAAAATCAGTTAATATATGATATGTCCATATCTAACACACTGACCTTGGCTGTCAGTAGGGTGCCACGGTTTCCAATTCAAAACAATAAAAGAACTGTTAATAGCCACACAAAAAAATACACACATCCAGTGTGACTGTCATTTTCACTTCTCTGTAACAGTCTAGACATACTATATGGGGTGTTACCCAATGTGATAATTGGTAAGTAGATCTTTGCCCATGTACTGGGCTCACCTAAGAATTATAATTGGGCTTGCAAGCCACTATTGGTCTGCTTGCCTGCGGCCTTTCTAGATTCAACAGAAGCCTTCCTGTTCTCTCAGAAAACAGTGGTCTTGAAGGATCAGCCCTGTATAATGGACAATTATTAAATATGAAACATTAGCTTGGAATCTATAGTACATAACTAGATGAGAATGTGAGTCCCAACTTCGAACTGATCTTATGTTTAGTTTTAGAATCTAGTTTTGGAGATCATTCTTATGTTAGTATTTATTTAAAATCTATTTCTTTTCAAAAATAAGCTGGGATTGTGTGGTTGACAGATTGAAACCTGTGAATGCCCAATCTGATTATTACTAGTGCATTTGTTAATATTTTCCAGGCATGACACTAAGTACTTCCATATATATTATCTTGGTAATAACAAATTCACTATTCAATAAAAATGTAAGATAAAGGTGACTGCCCATTTGAAAAGCAATTTTTCATCATTTAGTGTATTATGCACTAATTCCAGGCGTCAGATAACTCTTTAATCAGCCCTATATTTTTGCCAGCTTTTCAGTTGCATCCAGATGTTTAATTAGCAGAGTGAAGAGATAATGTGCTAATAAGAGGCTGAGAACAACGTATTGGAGGGGGAGGTGGTAGTGGAGTCTAAAATCTATAGAAAATCTGTTTATATAATTTGCTGGATGAGGGGAGAAAAGGGAGTAGCAAAGAACTCCTTATTGAAACAAATCCACATTTAAAAAAGGACATATGTATACAGAGAAATAGAAATCAGGGGCAAAAATACACTGAACAAACAGGGAAGGCAAGAAGGAAGCAAACTGCATTTTAAATCAAAGTAGTGTCTATGGTACAGGGATTTTGAAAGGACCACATGTGGGGAAAAATATTTCCTGGGTGCCCTAGGGCTGCTGTTCCCAACGCCTACTCTCTTGGTGTTCCTGGCTTTCACTGCCCCCAGCTGTGGTACATCCCCCCTCTAGCTCAACAGGAGCAGCCAAGTCGGGGAGAGAGAGTGAGCAACAGAGCTGCAGGAAACCAATGCTAGTAACTTTCAGCTGCAGCCTTAAGGAGCCACTGATCCATCTGAACATCCCTATTCCACTGCAAACCAAGAAGACTAGCATCTTTATATTTACCCTTGTTAAACAACTGAATTAGAGCCACTTGCCTTCTTTAAGGACCTTGGAAGGACTTTAATTTTTTTGCTTATTGGGTGTGGAATGAAGTGTCCATATGCTCAGTTAATCACTCCAACCCCTTCTCTTTGCACATTCACTCTTATAGCACTTCTTACATTTTCGCTAGAGTAAGAGTCAGCTGTTTATACACCTATTTCTCATACTAAGCTCTGAGCTCCTGAAAACAGTAAAAAGGTCTTTTTTATCTCTTGACTGCCCCAAGCACCTAATGCAGTGTTTTGTGCCTCATAGATTTTCAACAGTTTTCCCTCCTCGCGTAACCACTGTGCCCCACATCAGTCCTCTACCAAAGAATGAAGCCTTTGTGTGATTTTTTTTTTCTCGGTACAGCAATGGATTCAGGAGCCTAGAGTAAATGGTGAAGGCCCAGAAAATGAAAGAGAGCAACTCATCACATACATATGTTTAATAATAATTGCAAAAAAAAACACCCTGCTGTCAGGCATAAGTAAACTCTAGTTGTTTCTACAAACTCCTAAAAATGTAGTTCTACAACTTCAGTGTGCTTCAGAACCACCATAATTACCCAGATGAAGTATGCATAATTCTGGGCTCTGTAGAAATCCTGATTCAGTAGGTGGAGCTCAGTATATGCATATTTAATAAGTTCCCCAGGTAATAGACTATACATTTGAAAATCACTGCCCTAGGTATTTTGTCACCATGAGAATCCCAGTCTCTCTTTTGAGAATTACCAGTAGACAGCAATATTGGGAGGATTATTTAAAAACACAAGCAAATTCAGGTGACAAGTACTTATTAATGTGTGCTCATAGACGTACTAGGTGTGAGGAATGTAAACGAATTACAAGAAATAGTTGCTATTCTGAATGGTCTCACTGAGGAAGAAGGAAGCTACTAAAGTGTGGTGCCTAACAGAATACCCTACCCAAAAGCTAAACTATAACTATATAAACTATATTCTTCAGCCAATAAAAGCTGGAGAACTCAGGAAAGATTTATGAACAAAATAGTTTGACTTTCTCTGAAGTGCCATATAAACTCAGGGTGAGTGATAATTTATGAAAAACGTGAATTTAACAGATTCTAAACTCAAAATATGGTCAGTTGCCTCTGGCTGTATTCTAGATTTTTCTCCATTTATGCATGTTTCAACTACATTTTTTCTCTTGAAGCTAAATATCAATATTGGTTTTGGGTTTTGTTTTTGTTTTCATTTTTCCAGATGGTTTAACAGACTGTGTGGACCCTGATTGTTGTCAACAAAGCAACTGTTATGTAAGTCCTCTCTGTCAGGGTTCACCAGATCCTCTTGACCTTATTCAGCAAAGCCAACCCCTCTTCTCTCAGCACACTTCACGACTCTTCTATGATCGAATCAAATTCCTCATTGGCAAGGACAGTACTCATGTCATTCCTCCAGAGATCTCATTCGACAGCAGGTATATATGTATTTATTTTATTCCTTAATGAACAGTTGTCATGTTTTTCCTTAACTGTGAAAGAAAGATATCTTCTAAAGATCAGATTACTTCCCATTCCACACAATCCATATTGATTTCTTTTTTAGGAATTCTCTGGAATGCCTAAGCCCTTACCAATTAGTTAAGGGAAAAACTCATTTCTATAGATTCTGTATCATAAAAGCTATGAAAGTTATGTGTGTGTATGTGTGTATATGTATGGTGCTTTTAAAGACAAAAACAGGAAGGAAGTATAATTTGCAAATTTGTTGTTTAGCTTCTGGATTGATTCCTTGAAAAACTATTGAATTTCAAAAGCTAAATTTTAAGTTTCATGCTGTGACAAAAAATGTTTCCATATGAAAGTGTTGGGTAAATTTGATATTCTAATGTGAAATGCAAGACTTGTGAAAATCTGTCTTCTAGGAAAGCTCAACCATGAATTATCACTAGAGACCTAAGACCAAAGCCCAACTCATTGGACAAAGAAATTTTTAGGTATCAACTTACTTATATGAACTGCAATGACATGAATTTGTTCATTGGTATTCTCTGCTTCATCTTCAGCAAGGATATCTTATACTAAGTAGCACTGGATGTAGGTAAATCACTAAAGTCACCATTTCCAGGCTCAAAAATTTCCTCCTTTGTTCATTCCACAAGGTGATATTTCACTGGCTTCCTAGACTATTGCAAACAGGAATTAAAAAATAAATAAATAAATAAAAAGCATTTGTCCAGGAGCTCCTGTCTACATCCCACTGAGTTACTTGTAGCCTTGTGGGCATTATCAGCCCCAAAAAATAATGTGGTCAGGAATTTGTATTGGTATCAATAACAATCTAGGAGAATTACAACTCACTCTTGACCTATACACAGTAAAAAAAAAAAAGGTGGGGGATGTGCATGAAAATTTCAAACACTCCACTCCCTTCCCTTCAGTTGTACACTCGAACTCTTATCGAAACTTAGCACTTTTTATTATTTTTATTATTGTGCAATTCTGACTTTTTAGGTCTCTGACAGAACCCAAAACCCAAATGCCAATACATCACAAGACAGAGCTTTTCTGCCAGGAGATCTAATCAACATTTGCCTTCTTCTAAGAGATGCAGTTATCCCCATTTTGAAGTGTCTCTCCCAGCTCAGTAACAACTCTGGGGTTACTTTCAGATGGGGTGTATTCAAAGTAATTATTTAGCTAGTAGAGACATTATTGTACACCAGAGGAACAAAAAGAACCAAAAAACAGTCATTATCCCTATTTCCTATTTAAGATAGAGGTAAGTTATCAATTCTGTAGCTCCTCCACACGTAGGGAGAAGTCAGTCCAAAAAAAAGGAAAAGAAATAACAACAACCTCCATGACATAGAGATGTGTTAAACGACTCACTGAACTCAAGTAAGGGGAGAAAGTCAGGACCTGAGAGAGACAGGAGACAAGTCATTGTCACCCAGAGCAGGGCATTTGAGCAATAAACTTAGAAAAGTCAGGACAAACTTAAACCCCTGCGGTTCAGCTTCATGCTTCAGCAGCGCTTGCCAGCCGCTCAGAGTGAACAAACCTATTACTTGTGGTGGTTAATGCCCTTCTCCTCCTCCTGGTTTGATTGAGCTCTCCTCTTTTTTTTTTTATAAAATGCTCCAAGTTATCATTTGGCTCTGCAAGTCACATTTAAATTCAGAACGATGGCTTTCCTTCATCCAGTGGTCTCAGCTGTTACAAACATATTCATTCTGTCAGAAAAGACACAGGCCTTTTCCAAGAAAACTGGAGGACAAGCAATCTAACTATATTTATTTTCTCTAAAAAATGGACACGTGCATTTTTACTTGGGGTATCTTTGGGCAAAATAAGTTCAACTCTGATAACATATATATATAAATAATAGTTAAAACCTCTTACATCTATAAAGTACTTTTTAGGTTGCAAAGCACTCGAGCACATTATTTCATCTTATCCTCACAATCTCCAAGTGAAATGAGTATTTGTATTAGGCGCATTTTATATATGAGGAAACTGAGGTTCAGAAAAATTAAATAACTTACCCCAAATTACATGGCCGGTAAGTTCGCATTGTAGCAGCTCCTGCAACCTTCTTTTTCATTATGCCACGGCTGCCACATTTCAGCTTGTCCTTAAGTAAGCTTGGTGAGGTGGACCAAATTTATAACTAGGTATGTGGGTGGCATCTGGGTCAACACAAGAAACTTAGAAACCAAGTGATTTTTGAAAATCCAGTTCAATTTAATACATTTCAATGACATCATTTACAAAGTTCAAATTTGTGCTAATGAACTCTGTAGCAGAACACAATTGAATGCCTCATGAAATGGGCCTTTTGCTACATATAAACTGTCGTTGAGCACTTCATATGTGTCAGGTTTCATACTAAGATTTTACATGTGTTATCTCATTTAATCCTCACCAAAACCTTAGGTGGTAGGCACTATTACTATCTCCATTTTTCAGGTGAGGAACAAGAACTAAGACATCAAGTAAGGGACTTGTGCAAGGTCATAATCAGTGAGTGTCAGAGCCAGGATTTGAACCCAGGCAGACTGATGCCGAGAGCCTGATCCATACACCACTGTGCTGAGCCACTTTGGCTACTTGGAAAGCTGGGCTACCTAACCCTGAAAAGACTTAGGACTCTTACCCATCTCTGAATGTGACGTTGATCTCTTCAGACAGATCTAGGACACTTATGTGCCATAATCAGGTGAACCACTTTGCTTTTTTGCTTTTGCCACCCAATTGAGAGATAGCTGGGTAGGTAGGTGAAGAAAGCATTGCTAAGGGGCTCATTTGCCTACTGGCAAAATGTGACCCATGCAGCTGACTTGCTGCTGAGTGTTGCCACCATCAAAAATCTTTGGAGCTTAAAGACAGTGGCATACATACAGGTGGCTAAGTGTTCCAAGGACACACAAAGGTTAAATAACTGTTCATCCTCATGCATCCAAGGGAAACTAGACTTTTTTGTTCTATGTTTGCTGCAATGGCATGTGAGAACACATGGAATGTGTACCTTCCATGCCCCATGATGGCGAAATGTCTGTGTGAACATGCAACCCGTCCCCTGTGAAGTCTCTAGCAAACTCAGCTCAGTTACCACTTTTTCCTCAAATACAATATATCCTGTAGCCCGAGTTTCTTTCTTTTCTTCAGTCTACTCCAAACATGACTACAAAGTAAACCACGTATTCTATGTGCCCTGTATGACTTATTACTTTTTAATAATGTAAATAGGTGAACAGAAGCGTTATTGATCTTCAGTGTCTAAGCATTTAATCACTATTAATAATGTAAAAGGTTTTTATAAATATGTAAAAACAAGAGTACATTAAACTAAATGACAGCAGTAATTTGCAAAGCCAGACGTTTCACTTGCCATCACTAATGGAGAAGTGCATTTAAAAAACAAAATCCTACCAGGATTAGTGCAGCCGCTGACAGCAAGGTCTAGCCAAACTCATTTGTCTGTTTTGTAACCAGGAGAGGCTGGTCCCCACATCAGTCTGCGTCTGTATCAGAGGTTGCTTCAAATCAGCCCACAGATGTATTTCATTTGTCCTGACATTTAGAAATTAGGAGATCTAACATAAAAATCAGAATATCTTCCTTTTCTAGAAAATTTTCAAAGCTTGGCAACCCTAGGCCCATGGGCATGATGTGGGTGTTCTGGAGCTGAGGGCCAGCTGCCCCTCTGGATGGGACATGGTATGCTTCTTTGGTTCATCATTCACTGTTTCCCTTATACCTGGGTCACTTCCGATGTCATGCCTGGCCCTGCTGGCATTCGAGTTTGTGACCTCTGGTCTGCACTGTTTCTGTAGCTTTCCTCGGAAAAATCTCAAGTATTTCTTTTTCTTTCAGATGTCTTTCCCTGAGAGCCTTTAATTATCCAATATCATCATTTTAGTTAATTTTTGAACCTTTACTGTATTGGTTTGAGAATAGAAAAAGATCACTGAACATGAAATAGAAGTCACATTTACCCCTAATCCACTGGAGTTCCTGAGTACACTCATGAATAAGTTTGTGTACACTCTGCCTCACATCTTAGGCTAAGAAACTGCTCTGGGGCAGTGGGTCTTAACCTCGGGTGTCTTATATCCCACCAGTAATAATATCAGATAATCCGGGTCCCACCATACTAGAAACAAGAAGTCCACTTTTTATGAGAAGTCTATGTATGTTGACAGGCATTTGATTATTATGTTCATCACTTAAAGTAAGTTTGAAAACAGTGCTGCTGAATTCAATTGTGATGGTTTCTTCTGCATACCCCTGGTGGAATGTCTACTCTCAGTGAAAAAGTTCTAGAACTGGGATCAACCTTAGTACAGCATTAAGTACATAACAGCAGTGTTAACAGGCTAAAAATGAAGAAGTTAAACAAGATGATAGGTTTCTTCTAGTTCTTTCTATGGAGTTGCTACATTTCAGTCTTTTGGTTTACACTGGAATATACACTGTTAGTCACAGAGCTTGCCCAGACTCAAGGAGAAGGACATGGATTCCCCCTCTTGATGAGAGAAGTATCTACCATACAGCTGTATCCCCAGATCCTCACACAGCACCTGGCACAGAGTAGGTGAAAAATGAGTAAGTGGCTTAGTTATAATGATTTTGAAGTGCAAATGCTCTTCTCACACTTGCTAATGAAAAACTCATTTTCGTTGCTGTATTAGTCTGTTTTTCTGTTGCTGTAACAAAATACCTGAGACTGGATAATTTACAAAGAGAAGAGATTTATTTGGCTCATGATTCTGGGATGGGTGCATCTGGCGTGACCCAAGACTGAGGTTAAGGGAAGGTCTCAAGAAGATGGTCATTATTGCAAAAGCTTCTGATCTTGAATAAAGACTGAGACTTAGGAATAACCATGCTTGACAGATACTAAGTACTGTTTTTTGAAAGTATTTATTTTATTAAAATAGTATTTCCAGAGTAACTGAGAACTTTAAGTCCT